GGGAAAAAAAAAAAAAAAAAAACACTGAAAAGTCCCGTTTTGCCCCCTCATTCCCTATCCTTCCTCCTCCAGGCTCTCTCTACCTCCCTCCCTCCCTCCCTCACGTCAAAGAGTTGGAACTTTGAAGACTTTGAATTTTCAAACACAAAAGGTTGAAGAACGAGCTTCACAATTGTAGAAGCTTTACTACCTGAACCGCACCGCCACTGTCCAGGATAAAGTATTAAAATTTTAAAACTTAAAAGTAATTCTTTTAAGCCCAACCAATTAAATAACCTGTTGAATCTGGACAGGAAGTATTGTCATTATAGTATGACGGGGAACCCCGTAGCAGCCGCATCGATGCTCAAGCCTCAAACGAGAGGGAACATGCGCGGGAGGTGCACCCACCAGCAGGTGCAATACCTGGTACATGCAGTAGGGGCTGACCCCTGACCGGTATCGCCCACCAGTGCCACATATTTCGGGGTGGCTTGCACCCCAATGACAAATTGTGTGCAATTCAATGACCTCATGTGAACTCAGTGTGGACTTGTGAAATGGTGGGGGTACTGGTGGTGGCACTGGTGGGGGTACTGGTGGGGGTAATGGTGGTTGAAGTCGAATAGACCCAGGGGTGCTCAGAACTCAGTGTTCAAATTGTCAATCTGCATTGTAAAGGGACGCTGGACGCGGTTTTCAGCAGGCGATGCTCCCCACGCCAATAGACAGGAGCCAATGGCAGAAGGCAGCTGCTATTTTGGGATGAGTAACATCCAGAGCCAGACGTTCACTGCTTCTGATCGTGGACCAGCCATTGCTTCTAGAAAATCATCTGCGAAGCGCATGTCATGAGCCTTGTTATATTCACCGATAGACTGCGATAGTTGTTATTCACCGATAGTTGCTTCTTCTATAAAGTGGTTGAGTGCACTGGGCAGTGACTCTCTAAGGTCTACTGCAGTTCAAGCCGTGGAAGCTGTGGAAGCTGTGGAAGCTGTGGAAGCTGTGGTGCCTGCTCTTGATACTATGTCATGGTCAGACTCGCTTTCGCTTCCACTTCACAATACGTTCAGACTCGCTTTCACTTGCACAACCATTTATAAGGAAAGGTAACGAATGTTTGTGGGGCATCTAGAACGTATTTCATCGTCAGATCTCGTTAGTATATTCCTTGCATGCGCTTAGTAATTGTTAATAGTAAGGAATATTATTATATTCTTATTATATTAGCATATTAATATTTGCAGAGTGATTTGTTGTAAATTGTAATCATGACTTTTTTGTTTTTTTTTTTTGCTTCTGTTTTTGAAACGGTGCCGGCCTTGAGATATCATCATTGAAGCTGACAGGCCCCAGGGGATTCGGAATTTATGTTATGGGCATCTGATTGTAACTGGATTCGAACTTGGGGCTGAATTTCATCAGTTTGTGAGTGTACCAACTGGCCTCTCGTTTCAGCTTCTGCTTCTTGATTTTCTCACTGCTGCTTTTCCGTATCGTGTGTTGCAATGACTTGCTGATTCTGACTGCCGAGATTGATTGCGAGGCTGTACATTAACCAGTAGGGATAGGTTCGTAATTTTGTTTGGCTGAGGGCTAACCGAGAGACCTACCTGTAAGGAAATTCGTGAGGGACACATCTGCAAATCTGGGAAAATATCGGCCCAGTACTACTTCGAATTCCTACAGCTACCCTAACTGCGTAGAGCAGGCCCGGGTTACCCCTAGGACAGACAGGCCCTAAGGGGCCTATGCCGATAGACGGTCCTATAGCCTATAGCCGGGTCCGGTAGAGGCCGAGAGGCCGAAACAGAAACGGTACCGGTCGGTCAGTCAGTCCGGTCTAGGTCTAGTGTAGTCTGTAGATAGGTTAGGCCCATCGGTTCAGGATTTTTGGACAGTTCATTTCTCGCGACGCAGGTTGGAGAAGCCAAGCAAGTTGGTGACGGTGACTGTCTGCAGGTGGCATCCTGAGACCTCGCCGTTGAAGTCGGCCCAGTCTGAGTCTGCCATAGCTGGGGCATCCTCAGCGCATCTACCCTGGGGGTATCTTCATCTGGCCGGGATATATCGAGGCTCTACAGTGTGTACTCGTGGGTGGTGGCAGCCATAGCTGCCTGTTCCTTCGTCAGGGTTGTCCATCGGCACTGAAGACTTCACCGCAGGACCTGTTCTTCATCAGGGTGGTTGGCGCTGGCCTCTGGGAGGCCATTCTGATGTGGCGCTACTAACTGGGCGTAGGATAGAGAGTGGGGTGTGAGTTCTGAGAGTGGCGAGATACTGGAACAAACTCTGTTACGATAATTGTTTGAGTTGGCTCTTCATCAGTGTAATTTCAATTGTGATCCTCGCAGGTTCTACTTGTGATTGGTTGTTGGGAGTTTGTCAGAGAGAGAGAAACACTGTGTGTCTTCTCCCCATCTTTGCATAGCTGTATTCCGCTGCCTACTTTGATCTGTGTGCAGTGTGGACTCTGTCTCCTCTCCCCCTTCTCTTATGCATGTATGGGCGTGCATGAGATTGTCTGTGTGTGAGTGGCAATAAAATTCGTCAGACAACCAAGTTCATAACAGTGTCCTGTGTTTCTGTGTTTATGGTTGTCATTATATCTTTGCTGTTGGTTGTCATTGTTGTTGTTGTTGCCGTCGTTGTTGTGGCTATTGCTGCTGTTGTTGTTGTCGTTGCCTGTTGTCATTGTTGTTGTTCGTTGTTGTTGTTGTTGTTGTTGTTGTTGTTATCGTTGTTGTCCTTCTTGTTGTTGTGATTGTTGTTGTTGTGGCGGTGGTGGTGGCGGCGCTGGTGGCTATTGGTGCTGTTGTTGTTGTTGTTGTTGTTGTTGTTGTTGTTGTTGTTGTTGTTGTTGTGGTCGTTGTCATTGTTGTTGTCATTGTTCGTGTTTCGTTGTTCTCGTTGTTGTCATTGTTGTTGTTGTTATTGTTGTTGTTGTTATTGTTGTGGCGGTGGTGGTGGTGCTGTTGTTGTTGGTGGTGTTGTTGTTGTTGTTGTTGTCGGTGTTGGTTGGTGTCGGTGTCATTGTTCGTGTTTCGTTGTTCTCGTTGTTCTCGTTGTTGTCATTGTTGTTATTGTTGTTATTGTTGTTGTCGTCGTCATGGGCACGGTTGATGTTATTGCTGTTATCATTGCTGGTGTTGTCATTGTTGGTTGTTTTCCTTGTTCTTGATCTTGTTCTTGTTCTTGGTATGAGCCTTCACCGGCGTTGGTGCTAATGCTCGGCTGTTGTTGTCATGTTGTGTTTGTGTGTGAATGTCTCATACATACAGTTCCGATCTACAGAACCTTACCTAGAGGACTATATGGCGTTTCCTTTTGAGGAAGTGCTAGAGGAGACAGGGTTCAAAGTAGTCTTGCATACTCCCAATACACCACGCCATCGTACAATTGTTGCCCACAAGCTGTGAGATATTCCCCAAATTTGAGGACAGGATAAGCAAGGACGAAAGGAGAAAATAAGTAACGTGGCGACTTAGATCAAATGCGGCTTCATCAGCACGTGTCGGAGTTCTTGAGGTGGAGAGTGATTGTTGCAACAACAGAGAGCGGAGAAGTATGTCTACACGATTCTACAGGTAATAGAACCTAAACCTAGATGTATAGAGTTTCCCTCTGTATTTTCTACTAAATTTCTAGAGGGCTGCAAGGCAAAAGGGAGGGGATAGCAAGCAAGGGGTAGGTGATAGTGCAGTTTACCACCCAGGTTATGAAATATGAGACCAATAGCTGGTTTGTACTGCTTTGTAGTCTTGGGGCAATTCAATAGCTGGTTCTTTAGGGAAGTCTAGACAGGCTTTGTCCTATGGCAGCTGCTGGATTGTGCATTGCTATAGGTTTGAGCAAAGTTGCAAAACTAACCCTCCCTTGCTAGTTATAGGTCTGAGCAAAGTTGCAAACCCCTCCGTCCCTTGCTAGTTATAGGTTAAGCAAAGTTGCAAAACTGTCCCTCTCTTGCTTGCTGTAGGTTCGAGCAAAGTTGCAAAGCTGTCCCTCTCTTGCTTGCTATAGGTTCGAGCAAATTTGCAAACCTGTCCCTCCCTTGCATTACTTTTTGGCTACCAGCACCATCCTTCTTCAACATGCCATGTGTCCTAAAAGAGCAAACGTTTTTCCCTATTCGGGAAAAACTTTGCAAGGAGATATAGTATACCTGTCACTGCCGTTAGACGTGGACCATGGCAGTCTCCAAATCTGTTAACTCTGAGTTCAGCTGAGTTTGAACCAGAGCATATGATTCTGAACGAAGCCCATGGCCTCTAACCACACTGTTACCACAGCCACCGGTAGTTGGGGCCTCTTAACCACAGCTAACGGTAGTTGGGAGGCGGTGAGGAAGAGTAAAACAAACTAGCACTTGGGTTATCCCTCTCCTCTCACTGACCTATGCCTACCCTTGTCTCTAGAATACAACTCACAGCCTGAAAAACAGCAATGTATGAACAACAGCAATGTATAGAAGGTATATTTCTGGTCCGATGCAATCATGGCAAGGGCGCGTAGTGCGCGTAGTGTTCGAGGGAAGATGGTAGCTCATCCGGGGCCTTCAACAAGATGGTATCCCATCTGCAGCCTTCAACAGTTCCCATTTCAAAAAAAAAAAAAAAAAAAAAAAAAAAAAAGGAGGAGAAAAAAAGAAAGAGAGAGAGAGAGAGAAAAAGGTCATTGGAGTAGTGGTGGTTTGCAACCAACCCCTCTGGCAATGTATAGAAGGTATCTTTCGAGTCCAATTCAATCATGACAAGGGCATGTAGTGTTCGAGGGAAGATGGTAGCCCATCTGGGGCCTTCGTCAGTTCCCGTTGAGAGAGAGAAAGGTCATTGGAGTACTGGTGGGTTGCGAGCAACCCCTCTGGCAGAGCAAGGGTGCCTGCAGTCAGCACGAGTGCCCGCTGTGACCTTTACAACCCTGCAGCTACAGAGAGCTATTTGGAAAGTAAAGCTATATGACCTGCAATTGCTACAGCGTAGCCTCCATTTACTGAATTCAAAAAAAAAACTTAAGTAGTTGACGTTCTGTAAGTCCATAATAAAAACGTAAATTTTGTTTTTCTAGAAGTCTMATATTGTACTGTGATATCTTTTTATTAGAAGACAATGATGCAGTAGATGAACCGTAGTTGTCAAGATGCCATGGAAGCTCTGGCTAGAGCCATTAGAGCCAAATATGTGCTTGACGCCGACATTGCGAAATGCTTTGATCGAATCAACACTTCGTGCCTCTTGGAATATACAGAAAGCTCATACTCTTCAGTCATAGATAAACAATTAGTTGGACAATATTCAACACAAATACTTGATTATAGGAGGAACTAGTTCATCAATTTTCGCTTATGGTTTATCTTGGTTGTATGGCTTAGGCGCGCAGCGCAGCGCTGGTCTGGTTGTGTACATCAGAAGTCTTGTTCTAAACATATTTTGTATGGTATAAACATCCAGATCATATTATAGATATCCAATATATGATAATTATCATTATAATAATACATTATCATATTGTATATGAAACTCCATGAGTTATTTGGCCTTCAATTGAAAAAGCAATTGTTTTCGGAGATGGCACTCATGCAGCTTATATGACTTCTTCCTCTTCTTGTTCTTCTTCTTCCTCGTAATCTTCCCTCCCCTCTCTTCTTCTTTTCTTTTGCCTCTTTTCTCTTCCGCGTCTGCTTGCTCTTTTTCCATCGTTGCCTGTTCCCTTTTCCACCCCTCCCCTCATTCCCCGCGTCCTTCTCCTCATCTCATTTCCTCCTCGTCCTCCTCCTCCTCCTCCCTGTCTTTTACTCTCCTCCTTTGTCAGCATTTCCCTCTTTTTCTTCCTCTTCTGTGATTCTTTTTTTTTTTTTTTCAACCAATGGGATTTGTGAATTTGAAGGGTATATGGATTTTCCAAAGGTCAAATCAAATATGATTTGATTCATCCGGAATAGGTGTAATTACTCAAATAAAAACAGCTTCGCTGGTTGTCGACAAAAAAAATATTAGAATTAATTACAACTGGCGTCAATGGTTTTTTGGTGATCACGCCTGACGGCAGCTTCCTGGAAGTGGTCATTCTTTGTCAAATTAAATAAAGTGAAGCTTTGTTTTGCTTAAACTCTAAACCCTATGAAAGGTCACACGATTTCCTGCCAGAATCAAACGTTGTAAGCCTCCTGACGTCTATAAAGGGAAGGGTCTTCGATATCGAAATGACATCGTACTCCAGAAACAAGGCAAAAAAATAAATAAACCATGTCATATTTCGAATCGAATTAATCGGAAAAAAGTGCACCAGTTCAGTGAGTGAATCATCTATTCAATCAAGTTGCTACAAGTACAAGCAATAACCCTTTTGAAATCATTTTGTAAAATTCCTGTAGTAGTTGCCGCTCCCACAAAATTAACCACAATGAAAGCCTTGGGTGCGTATTCAAATAAAGGGGGAGAACACCCCCTTGCCATGATCATGAAAACACATGCTGTTACGATAGTAGCTGTCAAGCTGCATGAATCAGAGCTGATACTGGGGTAGGTACAGGGCCCTCCATAGCGTCTGGTAACCAAGTATAGAGGTCCTATTTGTGCACATTTTCCTACCTACAGCTCCAATAAAGAGTAATACACAAATAGCAGTTCGTGCATTTTTCTTCCTCTTTTCCATCCTCCTTTTTCTTCCTCCTTTTCTTCTTCTTTGGCTTCTCCTCCTCCTCCGTCGACTTGTGCTGTTGATGAAAGCGACTAAATCTGGTTCGAAAAGAGTGAAGCTGAAAATTTTCAAACGTTCGTCTAGAATGTTTCACCTCCCCCAGGCCTGCATTCATGTCAATCATCTTGTCAGCACGTTTATTCCTCACTGCAAATCAAAATGCAAAAGGCTTCTGAGAGATTCCTTCCTTGTGTGCTAGCAACAATTGGGCTATCCTCCTCTTCCCGTGAAGCAGTTGAGGCACCTGCTTTGGACAGGAGTCCTCTGTTGTGAGGCCCTTGAGGTCTCGCTCCACCACTCTCCACATGCACAAAAGACACAAATTATGGCAGTGTATCTTACCATGTTCTAGCGGAATATTCACTCTCATTTTGCAAATTTAGCGAGTAGTGGAGCGACACCCTTGCAATCAGTTGTACTGACCATTTAGTACTAATTCCCCTAACTTCTAGAGGATTCGCATGGGCCATGCCAGTAATAGCCAAATCAGGCTTTAATTCACGAATGTGTTAGGAAGCGCCTTGGAAGAGGGTAACCAGGGCACTCGGAGAAGGCACTCCCCCTTGTCTGGTCGCACATATGAAGCTCGTTGGGAGAATGAAGAAAACCACCAGCCTCCGGGGGTGCCTTCACTGAGAGTATGCATGGAAGTCTGAACGCACGCAAAAGATGGGTGGAAGGTTGTGGACTCGGGAAGGCAATGCCTTGAAACTGCCACCCTCATATCCGACGCTGGCAGTTCCCCTCTGCGCGCCAAGCTTTGCTGAAATGCCAGCGTGGCGATTTTGTTTCCAATGTATCCCAGTGTCGACTTGGATGGGGCCGTGTACTGGTAGTTTAAGAGGGTGGAGAGTTTGGTCAGGGATTCACATGTTTTGGCTGCAGAAAAAGTGAACAGGGGATGCTCAGAGACCATGCAAGGGATACCAGCAGACGGAGGGAGGGTTCATAGCGGCAATGTGTGTGCTTTCTGGCCTCTAGATTAACAGGGGTTTAGGGAGTGAGGGAAAAAAAAAAAGAAAAAGGGTTGAGGAAGTCCTTGATGCAAAGGCTTGATGTCATTTTTTTCCATCTCAGATGAGATTACATTTTGGCGGTCGTCAGGGGGGAGGGATGGAAGAGAGAGAGGAAAGGGGCATCATCACACTAGCTAACGGACAGCCAGACGGACTAGGGCTATCAGTACGACCGACTGAACTAAGATGCTCAGCGTGATCGAGATCCAATCGTCCTTTGTTCAAGACATATGATGGAGGTGAGGCGGCGGAGGAGGAGGAGGGGAGAGTCAATTCAATTAACAGACAATCAATGCACTGTCTTCCTCACCTTAGCCATTCCAGTGATTCCACCTCCTGACACCCCCCCTTCCCTTTCTGCCACCTCAGCATTCATCGGCTTTTATCCAATCTCTCGCTTTCCAGCACCTCCCCAACATGCAAAGCCACTCTCCAGAGTGATTGTACTGTAGCACAGTGAAGAATAACCGCTGACAAACCTCAAAACTCCCCCCCCCCCCCCCCCCCCCCTCTCTCTCTCTCTCTCTCTCTCTCTATGGAGAGCACTTGTTACAACAATGTAGGGCAGACTATTCGATCCTAGAGGTGGAGCATTTTTTTAACCACCAGTACATCCGAAAAAGGAGATTGAGACTCTTATTCAAAAAAAAAGGAGACCATGAGCCGAGGTGGAGCATTTTTTAAACCACCAGTACATCCGAAAAAGGAGATTGACAGGTGGACCCCACAGGGGAAAATCTCGGAAGAACACTTCCGCCTGGTGTTTTCTCGGACCCCACAGCCTCTGGAAAAGTGTCTGGAAGTCCTTTTTTTTGTATTTCCCAGACCCCACCGCCCGGAAAAGTGGGGAGAAGAGCGAGTTTCCAAGTCCTTTTCCGGGCGGAAAACAGCCGATCCACGTAAGCCTCACCGAAATTTTGTGGAAAACGCAAGAGGTAGGGGGGGGGCATCCCCCTACGTCTTCCAGACTTGGAAGATCGCGCAGGTCCATTTTGTGTCCACATGGTGCTCCCCAGCCGAAGGTCAGACAGGCGGAATGCCACCCACGACCCGTCAGCAGCCACCCCGCAGGTCCACCACGGCCTATCCGGGCTTCGACGGCGGACAAAACAGCCAAACTGGTCCGAAAGTCTGGAAGAACTCTTCCAAAAGTCTGGAAGAACTCTTCCAAAAGTCTGGAAAAGAGGCACTTCAGTGGGGTCCCCTCTTTTCTTTACCGAAACCTTCCAGGACTTCCGCGTCGCTTTAACCAGAAACTGCCTTTTCCAGACTTTGGGCGGTGGGGTCCACCTCTCAGCTTCTTCCAAAAAACAGAGGCCATGAGCCAAGGTGGAGCATTTTTTTTGAACCACCAGTACGTCCAAAAAGAGATTCTTAAAAAAAAGGAGGCCATGAGCCGCCACCGATTCATTTTATCAATAGTCCATTGACCTCCAAATTTTTATGAGAGGCTTGATCTGCCTTTTCGGAGGTACTGGTGGTTAAAACTTTTTATCAAACCCGTCTCATTGATGGTAGAAGTGATATAAACACTTACTTCCATGGACTCAACATGGGACTCCCTACTACCCTTCAAAAAAATGGCCGGGAAATCACGGCCTTATGGGTACCATCCTCACCGTTGTTATTACCACAGTAAACTCCCGGCCTATGCTTTCAAACACATTCCAAATACCCCTCCCTCCTCTCCCCTTCCCCGAAAGACCAGCTAAGAATCACATGAAAGCAATTGATGTTATGTGCACGAAGAGCAAAAGGGATGATGGCGAGGAAGAGAATATACAGAACATTAAATTACTATAGCTAAGAAAAGGCACAGCGCAAAGGCCGCATACATACATCTGTGGTAGGCGCAAAGCAGCAGTACCCACACGCCAGTGGGCACAAGCAAGGAAGTCCAGGCCACAAAGTGAGCCTTGAACACAAAGTGAGCCTTGAACACAAAGTGCTACAACATACTTCATCCATGGATACGAAGTGCAGGCCACGAAGTGGGCCTCCAACTCAAACTGTTCCGCCTAAGTGCAAGCGCAAACTAAAGACGTCGCGAAGCGCAGAAGGCTCGAAGCCGCCTAAGTGCAAGCGCAAACTAAAGACGTCGCGAAGCGCAGAAGGCTCGAAGAGCAGTCGCTTCGTACCCAGGCAAGTAGTTCGGGTACGGTTATTCATGGTTGTGTTATGGCTAATTTGGATTGGCCACGGACATTCACAGTCGCGTTGGGGTCAATTTGATACCGCCACATTTCCACTACCACGTCTGGTTGTGCCATGGCTCGTTCAAATAGGCGATGGCTATGTGCGGCCGTGACATGATGAATTTCAACATGCCATGACACGATTCTGGACGGAACAATTGCTGCAAACCCGTGTCATGAGTCATGACCACTATGGGGTGGCTGCGTATCCAGAATATTTGCATACATGAGCAGATGGAGACGGGTGCGAATATCAGGACTGATAAACTTCAACCGATTTGTGTCCATCCAGAAATTAGCAAAATGATCTGATGCAGGACTGCTACTTTCAAATACTTAGTAAAATGAGCTGATGGAGGACTACTACTTTCACATACTTCCATTTAAACCAAAGATCTCCTCTTTCCACTTTAACCCAAGGTTTCGTCTGTGCCTCTTAAGGAAATGAGCCATGCCCGTCACCCA